GCGAGCGCGCACGTGAAACTGAGCTTACTCGCTCGCCAACTACGACCACAGCCTCTGCTCCTGGTTATTTAATTCCTAACTTTCTATTACCCAGTAATTTATCGTTTAGATCATGTACTTGATTTTAATCGACGTGTCCTTCCTTTCTATCTCTATGCCAAAAATCGGTCACCTATTTGTATACTTTCCTAATCACCCTGTGTTCGGTGTTTTGTACAAGACTGTAATTCGCCGGTTATGTCTTGATGCGTGCGTCCCGTAGTACCGAGAATAAACGTTTGCTTATTTATTTATAACTATCGCTATTACCACTAGCTGACGGTATCCGTTTCCGGGCTGTAACAAAGCCGCAGGATGCATATGCAAAGCAAATGAGCGACCTGGGGTGCATAACACACAGCTCCAGCCTCACAACTGTTGACCTGAAGAAGTAAGGCTGATAAGCATGGGGATACGGTTGGCCTAAAGGCAGTCCAACGCATACAGAACGCAGGCGATACCGTGGGGGTGGACATGATTAGCAGATGTACACAGGCTGGTGGCTTGACCGTAGCTCGTTTTATCACCAAATTGGTTTTTCAACCTAACCCTATCATGAAGAATCCACACTCCGACTTCAGTAACGACCGGCAGTGTCCGGGATCCACCATCCTCATCAGTAGCAAAAGCAGTAAGTTCAACTGATGATTCACTGTCGCAGAACCATAGGGAATGAAGATTAATAACATGGAAGGAGAGAAGATTTAGTTTAAAGTCCAAACGCATCAAGCAAACATGTAGGGTTAAGGCATCCACACCTTGACAACACGGTTGCAAACATCTACACCACTTCCCGGCCAAGTTGTCCTCTTGGGCAACGAAAATAATCTGAGGGGGTATTCAACATGAGTCTACTCAATTAATTTGTTCCGTGCGTAGGAGCTGAAGCGTCCCACCCGCACCCCTATGACTTAGTGCGTCTGAGGTCCAATTAGCTGAAGGCGACGGGCTATACACGCACACCTACACACCTGCACAAGTGACCGGCGTACGCACGAAACAAATTAATTGAGTAGACTCCTGTTGAATGCCCCCTCAGATTATTTCTGTTGCCCAAGAGGACAACTTGGCCGGGAAATGGTATAGTTATCGTGCGAGGAAAAGGTGGCATCGGACAGAGATAGCTTCGTTGCGGCTTCCACTGCCCCGCATCGTAACACATCGAGTGAATGTTTCCAGATTCGGGGGTGAAGGTGAAATAAGCAACACAGTCCAATGTACAAGTATGGCCTAGTTGTAGCGACGATGCTGCATGCGTGGCACATCGGTTGGAACAAAGGCGTGCTTGGTGACTGATGCTGGAAGAAGGATCGATTGGCTGCATTGACAAATACCCATTGAACTGATCCGTTGTATTTTTGACAGTCTCGTGACCACACTGCTTACTAACCACTCCCCGGGGAACAGGTACGAACCATTTCAGACGCTGCAGCAAGCAACTGCGTACAGAAAATTTCTTTGTGTTCTAGTTTCAACACCATGGCAATTCACGGGTGAGATCTCAATCTCACCTGGAGCATATTCACATAGGGCTGTTGCAGTCAGCTTGCACATGTCGATCATATGTAACCCTGGATAGCAAGCGACAAAGAAAAGTCAGACACAATAAGTCAATGTACGGCAACTATCAACCTGCAGGGAACAATCACGACTCAGATGGAAACAAACTGTAAGCTGCAAGAACTAACCTACAAGGATAGCGATGATTCATAGCCACAAGGAAAACACCGCACGCGGACAATGCAGGGATATCAGCAATGCGCAGTAACCTCGTGCAGACGCCCGTTGACCACGCAAGCAACATCAGTCACATGAGGGTTGGGATACCATGAGACTGCGTACGCCGATGCAAATTGGAATCCGTGACCCAATGAACAGAAGCCAAACATCTGGACCAAATCACTATTGCCGGTTGAGGGGAAGTGGTTAGTGGGGAGCCACGATCCCTACTGTGGGTGTATCACGTGGTCACCCAACGCACGTGGACTAACGCCTGTCCTACTCTGATTGGCCCTACACACGCACACATGCGCGCATTCACATTATTTTAAAACAAGATGTTCCCTTTATTATTCCAAACAGGAAAATCAGAAGACGTAGATTGTGAGATGACGTCGCCATTTCGTGCATTCTTATCAATTACAAAAACATGCAGCAATGATATGTAAATGAACAACCAACAATGTCAAAGAGATCATATATAGCTCCGGATTTGCGCTACCAGGGTAGGCTTAAAGTCACAGTCAGCTGTTTCCGAATGCACAACGGCAGTCACCCGCGAATGATAACAATGGCATCGAATAGCCTAAGCCTGGGTGGTTGCCGATCGTGCAGTAGGACAGCGAATGACTCCTCAGGATTGACTCTGTGGCCGGTGGTAAGCAATTGCTTTGTGATTTCCCTGGCAGCTTGGTTGCCCGATCCAACCGGCCGCGTAACCCTTTGGTTGACTCTGACACCTAAACATCGGCCAGTGCGCAGGTACAGGTGAATGTATATAGACAGTGGGACTGCATTGCCTCGTCGTCGGTGTCTTAATTTACACAACCAACTGGCACCGTTGAATCCAACTCCCCTTGCCAATGACGCTTGGTTAAAGAACAAATTAGTAGATATTTCACATTGTTTCTTCAACGCGCGAATAGCATAGCATTATAAGGCACTACGCGAACTGGAAAACAACAAGGATATTGCTATATTGAAGTCTGATAAAGGCTCCGGAGTTGTTATCCTAGACAAGCCAGATTACTTACGTAAGATGGAGACAATGCTGTCTGACATCACCCAGTTCAAGTCGGATACTGCATTTGACAATGTCCGTTTAGTCGAAAAGCAGTTGTGTCGTAAACTGCAAATCCTAAAGCTCCATGGATTCATCTCCGACGACGAATACAGGGCGCTAAAATCGGTTGGTACCCATACTCCACAGATGCACGGTTTGCCTAAAGTACCTAAAGCAGAAATGTCCATGGGACCAAATATCGCCATGGTGAATTCACCGTACCATTTCAAAATGGCTAAACAACATGCTTGAGCCTATCCATAGTAACGCATACCTTATCAAACACATTCGAACTACTTCCATTCTTGGAGCGTATTAATTTGGTTGGAACGCGAATGTGCTCCCTTGATGCTCAATCCCTCTTCATTAACATCCCTTAGAACGAGACTGTTGAGTATATATGAGAGTTTAAGTCAAAATATGATGTTCGACTTCAGCTTCCCACGGAACTGTTAAAGAACATGCTTCTCTTATGCACACAACACATCAAGTTCTACTTTCAAAGAAAAACATATCGGCAGATAGATGGTGTGGCCATGGGTAGCCGCCCATTAGGCCCGTTATTGACAAACGCATTCATGGGTATGAATGATGAAAAGCAGATTACACAAAATGATCGGCGACTCTGTATTAAGCGTTACGTTGATGATATATTGCTAATTATGGATTCGGATGTGGACATTGAGCATGCGACCGAGACACTCAACAAATCGCGTGATAATGAGCAATTGTCTTCGGTGTTAAGATATACTGATTACTCGATGACCAGACGGTTCCATCAAAAGGTCTGTGTACAGGAAGCCAACCTGGACTGATCAGTATCTGTATTCTACGAGTTTCTCCCCTATTTACCACAAACACTCTCTCGTCCGGATACTTTTCTAGCGGGCCCCAATGATCTGCACACCTGACACCATAGAAACAGAAGGGGATTTACTTTTCAATATGCCACAGTTCAACGGTTACCCATTGCGGTTCATTAAGCGCGTCAGTGAAGAAACCAAACGAAATCGTGTGCCAACAGTTCCAAAGAAGCCGAGCTACCTCTCAAAGGTGACCACATTACAAAGGTCATCGAGAAACGGATCAGGGCTTCACTCAAAAGAGCGTACAATGCAGAGGAACTGCGGCTGCTCACCTCGACAAGAAATATGCTTATATGTTCGATCAAGACACCGAGGATGAGACAATGCACGTCCTACTGTCTATATATATTCACCAGCAGATGCGGAACTAGCCACCTTGGGCGCACTACTCGATGTTCAGGTGTCTGAGTCAACCAAGTGGTTACGCAGCCGAATAGTGTCTGTAACGACGGAATCGGTTGCATCGGGAAACCAAGCTGCCTCGGCAATCACAAAGCACTTGCTTACCACCGACCACCGAGTCAATCCTGAGGAGTCATTCGCTGTCCTACTGCACGATCGGCAACCACACATGCTTAGGCTATTGGATGCCATCGTTATCGTTCGCCGGCGACCGCCGCTGTGCATTCGGAAACAGCTGACTGTGACTTTAAGCCTACCCTGGTAGCGCAAATCCGGAGCTATATATGATCTCTTTGAGATTGTTGGTTGTTCATCTATATATCATTGCTGCATGTTTTTGTAATTGCTAAGAATGCATGAAATGGCGACGTCATCTCACAATCTACGTCTTCTGATTTTCCTGTCTGACATATAACTATCTCCGTTCTGTCACAAGTGTCACGTCAGTTGTTGGGTATAATGCCCTCCGTAGGCACGCCGTCGTCTTATCAGTTGGCGCCGACAAACGTGCTGCTGGGATAGAATATTGACATGGAATAACATCGCATGTAAATAGGTCAGCTACGTATGAAATTTCATGACTAGAAAACGAAATGAAGAATTCGGGACAAAACCGTTGAGAAAACAATCGTGGTGATGGCGGAACCGCTAGGAAGGAACTATAGAAACAGTAATAGGGAGCAAAACCAAAGATGTTGGTAGTTATTTCTATCACAGCAACCCAAGTGTAAGGTATACACAACGAAGCTGGTATTTAACTAAAATTACATCTCACTGGAGCAGACGCCAGGGGAAATCCAGATGAGGATGCTGGCTTCCAGACCCTCAATCTGTTTATCGTATCCGATTGAGTAAATGTGCGACAGTGTACAAACGAATGATTTCTGTATGTGTTGATTAGCTAGACCTACCCTTTTGATACCGAAACGCAGACGGATCGAAGAGTTTGGACAGAAACCAGGCAAAAGAATCGGGCGCCAAGGAACGCACTCGGATGGACGAATCTCCATCAGAAAAGGATCGGTTGTTTGAATGTCTCTAGACGAATCGACCTTGAACGAAGTAGAATGAGTGCGGCTTCCCAATTGTTGCAGAAAGATGATCTAGCGGGATGGATAACAGTAAAGAGAAATGAAAATGGCACATAAGAATTAGGAACAGAAAACAAGATACGGAAAAGACGGAAAACGAAATTGGGAATTAAATTCAGAGAAACCAATACTTAAAGGACAAACAGTGGTAACAGGTTAAAATTGAAGTTAAAAGCAGAGCTAAGATGGCTAGATCCTCCTGCGAATAAAAACGTCAAATGTTCTAACCAATTCGCTAGATTTCCAATATCAAAGATCCGTGACTAGGGAGACTGGCTTGAAACCTGTATGCCTCGGGATCGATTGAGTGTTGCCCTGACCTGCATACAACAGTAGGCTGTCGGTTGACAGCGAAATGTCGGCACAAGGTAGCATTGTGTTGGAGGAGGCTTTACTAGTTGCGAAACTAGTAAACGCTCCACTCGATGAGCATTACAAGCCATCCGGTAACGCTATACATCCAAGGAAGCATTTCGACTGCTGAAACCGTGATCAGTCACGTGTTGCGCTGATGAGTGAAAATGACACAAGATTCGTCAAACAACTTAACAGTGAGACCCGCAGTGTGCAATCAAACTGGGAGGAAAGAACTCGGGAAATAAACTGTATCACGTAGGCAACGGCCAGGAGCAAAAAAGACAAATTACATGAAGCAACTGCAGACGAAATAGTGAGGCGAACGCAAAATGTGCCAACCATGGGAGTCAAGTGCTGCTCTCAATGCTACGGAAGTCGGAGGCGTTCGACACTGAGCAGATCTACAAAATTGTACAAATGTGACCTTCGCGTTTGAGTAGCTGGCATAATGATGAGGAGGAGGAGGATGATGATGACGATGATGATGATTTGTAGACATCAAAATGTGACACAGTGTGTAAATGGATCGCTATACTTAGCTTCGTAGGACCTACTAACTGATTAACTTCGACGTTGCGATGAGGTGATGAACGGTCCAGAGCGAGGAACACATCAGCTCGTCGTAATCAAAACGGATGGCCACGTGAGACGAGAATGGTCGTTTTGGAAATCAGCAGCAGATTTCAGCGGTGGTAACCTAAAGTGTGCGACACAAGGGGAAATATCGGAAGCCACTGATAGTTCGAATAGGCTGCAGTCCCCTGAGATCAAGAACCTTCAGTGTACGCACTTTCGAGGTCATATTAAGGAAGAGACTACTTACAATAGGAGAGCAGTACGAATTGAACGAGATCCGACAAATGGTGTTTGCACCTGTCAGACAGGCGAATTGTCGTTCGACGAATGTAACCTGCTCCACAGGAACATGTCAATGAGTAATTGCACAATGATTTGGCATGGACAGTCCCCTTGCCTTCGGGGCCAGTTTTTGCCACTGGGCTACGGGCGAAGAGGAGTTGCGTTTCAGCTGCTGGGAAAGTGTGTCTGATAGTGATGAGTTAGGATTTCAGCAGTAAGTGCTCCTTTACATGGTAGTTGCAAACATACAGATTTCCTCTGGACTGTAAAAGTAACAAGAGTCTTCTCCCTCTGCTCCATGTTAGTAACCATTTCCCATCGGCGTCGAAAGCATGCCATTCAGTTCTTCGGAAAATGTGCCGTTCGAGCGAATTCTTTCTGCTCGATTCTTCAGATTGTGGATAAGATTCCTTTTTAATTTTAGTGAAACGGAACTGGAAATCCATGCATTGTCCATTCCAAGTATGTCTCCTATGCACGTGACGCTGTAACGCAACACTCTCGAGTCGCTTCATCGCCACGTCGAGAAAGTGAACAGTATCATTTGCTCAACAAAAACGAAGAGAAAGAATAGAGAAGATCACAATAAAATCCCAAACGAAAAATGCCTAGGTGAACATTGCGCATGGCAAAAATCCAACAGTTTGATTCAGTTGATCAACTATGATCCGAGCACTGAAATGCGGTGGATCCAATTGCCACGAGTCACATCGTAAGAATAACAATAAATAACAACGGTAGGATAGTGGGGTTGGGTGCAAATAGAAAATGAAGAAAATGAGAACAAGTAGGAAATGCGTTAGACTAGTCAGAATGGAACGAAAATTAACAACCAGATGAAAGAAGTCGAATGCAGGCACGCCCCTGACTTCGTAACTGCGCCATGTCTGACACGGTCTCCAACAATTGGTGTGGACCGTCACGAGGCCACCATCCATGAAAACGGCACGCATCAGTTTGACAAAGTCTCTCAGTCAATTTCTTCATGCTACTATGCCATATCATGGACTGGCCACCTCGAGATTTCGCCCAACTTGGTACAGCCACGGCGTATAATGCACACCGAGGAAGCCGATTGACGGGCATACAGAGGACACGGCCTAGCCAACGCAAGTGAATAAGATTTATCAAACACGCGAGAGAGATACCAGAAGGCTTAGTGCCAAAAACCAACTGGCGGACCTCAGCATTGCTCACCCGGTGTTCTCACCAAACGTGAGCAATACTTTGCAAACACTGGAGGTTAAACATGGCTAAGCGTCTAATGTCTTCATTGTGAACTGGTCATGTCTCCGATCCATATAGTAACACTGGCCTTATAGCAGCGTTATACACCATACCTTTCATTGACAAGCTGATATCCAGCCGTCTCCACAGATGGTTGAGCCATTGGAAAGCCACTCAGGCCAAGCTGATACCCGCAGTAACTTCCTCAGTGATGCGACCATCAAAGGTGACACAACTACCAAGGTAAGTGAACCGATCCATCACTTCCAGTGGCTGTTCGGTGATGGCTAAAACTGGAGGTGTGTCGGCTCAGTCTTGCGACAGCCCTTTGCACTTTAAAGGTGCAAACTACACACCGAACCGTGAAGCGCTAAGTACAAGTCTGTGCAGTAGTGTGTGCATAGCCAAAGTACCAGACCTAAGGAGAACTATGTCGTCCGCATATTTCACGTCTGTCAGTTGGTCACCTGGCAGAACTTCCATTTCAGAATGGTCTGAAACAACCGAGTGGTTCATGATCATTTCGATCACAAAGTTGAAGAGGAAACGAGAGATAGGACAAACCTGGCGAACCCCACTAGTCGTGGAGAAATAAGGAAACAGTTTCCCCTAGACCCGTACATGGCCTCGGGAATCACGGTAGAAGGATTTCAAAATGGAAAGGAATTTAGCTGACGCGCCCTTCATGGATAGGCATTGCCACAAGCTGGCGCAGTTAACAGAGTTGAAGGCGGATTTCAAGTCAAGGAGAACCAACATAGTCGGTCGTTTATATGTGTGTCTCTGCTCTAACACTTGGCGAAGAGTAAATATGTGATCGATGCAACCACGGCCAGGGTGGAAGTCAGCCTGGCTTTTAGTGATTCGATACTCACAGATACCAGTAAGCCGTCGAAGAATGACACCCATGAAGAGTTTTGAGGCGATGGAAATAAGGCTATTGCCTCGATGATTTTCGCACAACGTACGCTGACCGCACTTGAAGATGGGTATGACAGTTGACAGTCGCCAATCCGAAGGCATTTCTGCAGTATCCCAAATTGTGTTAAAAAAAGAGCAAGTCCAGTCAACAAAGAGTCACCGACACCTTTCAGCAAAGAGGGGGGAAAGTCATCAGGTCCTGGAGTCTTGTTTCGTTTAAACACGCCGAGCTCATGACAAATCTCTGCCGAAATGGAAGATATGACATCAACTTCCCACATCGACTCATGTGATACGGCAAGTGGCACAAACGCAGCAAGCCTGTTGAACTGGTTCGCAAAATGTTCCGCCCAACGGGCTAGCCGACGACGATGAGAACGGGTCAACAGTCCAGCTTTTTCGGCTATTGTCTAGCTAACTGATGGCTTTATCGGACCCATGTTTCGGATGAGCTGGAAGAGCACTTGGCTGCTTCCAATAGCGCTGGCTTTCTCCATCTCACGGGCCTTTGCAACCCACTAACGTTCAAGGTAAACTCGAAGACCCCTTAGCAGACGTCGTTTCAGGGTGTTATGGATATGCTAAAATTCAATGCCAATCGGAACCTGTTTATGCGCTTCGATCAAACTGATCGACGCCTCAAAGATCCATTCACAGTTACGACGTCTCAAGTCGGGTGCACAGCAAGCGTCAAAGGCATTCTTTATGGCACACTTGAGACGATCCCAGTCAGTGTTTGGCTCACTAACCTCATTCATCACTGACAGTTGGTAGGACAGTTCGTTATGATATTGTTGGACCGCAGACTGCGAGTTTAAGTTACATGTAAGATTAGAAGACAGGCACTTCCTTAAAGCGGGAAGAGTGAGTTCCATGCCTGTGCGCAATAGAGCATGGTCAAAATCCAGACATGTGCTTTAAATCGACCGACAGTCTCGGACTGATTGCACCGTCTGTAGCTGATGACAATATGATCAATTTGGACCCACGTCATTGCGGAGTTTGGTGGACCCCAGGTGACGCGATGTGAAGGTTTGTGCTGGAAAGCATTGTTGCTAAAATAAAGATTGTGGTCGGCGCACAGATACAGGAATCGGTCACCGTTGTCTCCTCTGTGTGCATCGACTCCGAAGCGCCCTCCCAGGTGTTGTTCAGAGTCTGAAAGATGACCCACTTAGACATTCAAGTCACTAGCAACAATCACGATGTCAGTATTCTTCGCCATGCGGAGAAGAGATGAAAGATGGTAGTAGAAATCATCTTTGGTACCCTCCGAACTGCAGTCAGTAGGAGCATAAACGGAGGCGATGAAAAGGCACCTTGTCTTCATACGGTGCTTATTAACCCAATAGAGGTTCGAAGTCGAACCGCACACATGCGGCTGTTCACCGGTATCCAGTCGAGTAGATTACCTTCAGCATGTCTGCTGAGGGCGATACCAACACCGTAAATACCTTGAGCCATTGACTCGGTATCACCAGAGACGCGAAGAGTGTAGTCATTGTCGTCAGATTCAGAACCAGGGAGTCGAAGATTCGTCACAACGCTGTTATCTTGTATGCGTGTTTCGGAGACAGCACACATAAATACCAAGAGAGTGAAGAGTGAGAGTCAGTGCTGCCTGTTGATCGATCTGACCCAGAGTGCGGACGTTAAAAGAACCAATGTGAAATGAGACTCGTGGTTTGATGGACGAGTTACGAGTATCGATGGCAGAAGCAGCGAGGTCAGCGGCAGATTCTTGCTCAATAGTCGAGGAAGAAGAGAGTTGATAGGGGACAGAAAATAAGAAGAAGGAGTATTGTCGATGGAATCGAGAGGGCAGATGATACTCTCCGGCTGCCCATTCCGAGAGAGGGGTTTTGTTCGAGGTGCCCTACCTCTAGCCTTTGACTCAACAGTCTGACCCACAAGGCAGTGGGGATTTGGAGGTTCGCTTGAGGGACTCCACCCGGAGCCTTTGGCTCAATAGCCTGACCCACAAGGCAGTGGGGAGCAAGTCCAGCTCGGGAGTGTGATTGCAGAGACCCATTGGGATCTGCTTGAGGCCTGTCACACACAGCCTTTGAAGATTTGGAACAATTCACATGTGTTTTACGACCGTATTATGTTACGCACCTGCGACCACGGCCAGCCGCAGGTGGGAGTTGGCGGGTTTGCACCAATTTGACCAGGGGCTGCCTGGCTTGAGGCGGGCGGTAGCAAACCATTGAGCATCGAGAGATGCCCTCTCACCGTCAGAGACAATGCGTGGCGTTCTTGCTCCATGCCAATCGAACTGTGAGCTTAGAACCCGTATACCTGTTGTCTCAATCGGCTAGGTTTTAAAGGAAGAAGACCATCGACCTATCCCTAACCTCTGCAAAAGACTGGCTTGTGAAGCTGAGTTAATCTGACTCCTAACCATGGACCTGTCTGGTATGAGTGACACTGAAAGCACTTGTAAAGTGTCACCCAACGTAACGCAGTGGGTCACGGAGGTACGCAAGCCATCACTCTACGTTAAGGTCCAGTCTCGTGACAAACATGAATACCCACACAAGGAATGCTCATACGGAAGAATACCGTGTCTGTAGATTGTGACTTTGTTCAACCGTAGTAACAGTTTTTAATCACCAAAGATTCTATCTAACCGATCCATATCTAAATCAAGAAGGTAGTAGTTCGCGGCACAAGTATAACCAGCGACGTGTCCTGAAGTGACAGCATCTCGCTCAGCAGGACGCGGCCACCAACCTCATCAAAGCCATGGCATGGCTAGGCAAGGACTCCGCCTGTTTACACAAAGTGGGTATGATCCGCCGATTCGCCGAGGCTTCGGCAAACTGCAGTAAGCGGACAGTGCTCTATCTGTTGAGCGTTCCGAAATAATCGTCCTGGTTTTGACATTAGCGATCGAAAAAGCGGTCGGCTTGAGTGATATTGTTCTCACAGCTGTTGGGGGTAAAAGACAAGACTGGCATCTTGATAGAGCCACAAGCGAAGAATACCGTCAATTGTGACGAATTAACCAAAACGCTGAAATGTGTGAACTTTCCATGTGCAAATTTTCGTGTGGCCGTTCTTCCGGTCACAAGTCACCGAGAGTAGCAAAGGATATTTGGCGACGATAAGAAATCATAAAGCACAGTGGGATGGAAAACCATGTGATAGCTTTCGGTGAACCTCACCCCCCGCCTAGATTGCTATTAAAACAATGTCATCCGTTCTGTCTACCGACTGTCACCTATATGCCAACGGCTTGACCAGTGCACATAACCAGATCACAAAGTACCAACCACTGCAAACGATAATAAGTGAAATAAACAGAAATGGGTCAACATAACTGGTGATTGGCATAAAGGCAACGGAGCATGGAATGTGAATGGGTCCATTCTAAAGGAATGAGCAAAAGTGACGAGGGTTAGTATGAGGTTTAGCAACAGTATTAAAGGTAAGGTTTGGAAGATATCTAAACGACTGGCATGTGGTGTAGCTAAGGTGGGTGCAAGAGAAAAGAGAACAAGCGGGAGATACTTGTTGGACACGAGGAGACGGAGACAGGACTGTTAGTTGATAAGATTGAGGAGGAAGATAGTCACAACAGGGCCAAATGGGCACCTCATCTAAGATTACGCTTTCAACATAATGTATAGCCACAATCCTAGGTCAGATAACATGCACCCGTTTCAGGTGAATAAGATGAACAGGAAGTGCTTAAGAAATGCCAACCATGCAGAAGACATCGTGAGTCGAAGAATATGTTGACATCTAAAACGACAAACTTAATCTTCGAAGGATGACATTCGCAATTTGGTTACCTCAACCTAAAAATAGGAAACGCAGAAGTGAAAACGACAGGAAAAACAAAAATTGCATGATGGTATGGCTGACCTGATCAGAATGATTAATGACCAGCCAGTGCAAGGGAGGCAGAGTCACCAGCTTGGCTGTGTTGAAAGAACATTCACTGGAATCAACCAAATGTGCCAAACGCTGTTGCACGTGTTTCACTACTGAATGCAAACAGTTAAGGTTGTGCAGACGATCGACTCCGACAAACAAATGAACATCGGACGACCGAACTTTGATATCCGCGGGTCTGCCACGATCTGAGAGCTGAAATGCTCCGTGAAATGACTGCACTGATAGTATTGGCTGAGTACAAGACCAGTTGGGATCCGCGATCGACAGTAAACTGTGAGCCCATGACAGAGTGATCACATGTTGTGGGGAAACCAACGTCCAATGCTCCAAAGGATGAGCTAGAGAGAAGAGGAGATTGCTGAACTCCAAACGTGCCAACTCCGAGTTGGCGGTCCAAATACTGTTCGATGAATAAGTCTGGAACAAGCAGGAAAGGAAACTTGGAGATAACTGAATAGAGGATGCACAACAACTGAAACATATAGATAAAGGAGCCGGGGTTTCAGAAGTAAGTACCCCAACAATCAAAACCATTGACTGAAAAATAAGGAAGGCTCACTGGTTGCGTAAGCATTTGACAACACTGCAAGAGTCGGTTTAAAAGATGTGTAATGTATTGTTCTTGAAACGATAGTACAGCTCTATATCTGAAAACATCCGTGAGTTGATGGAGCAAAATCCACATACCTGTTGAACGACTGAGCAACGTAGTGATGGACAGTAGATCTGACCCCTGAGCCCGGCGTTCGGGATGATGGAGCGCTTTTGAACGGAATCCAGTTCAACACTGCCACCGAGTGCCAGAGGAGATATGTGCACCAATGCCACCGGCTCCGAGCTTGTCACAGTGGTTGCATGGAAGGTCCCGTGAGCAGAGGATCTGAACAAGCAATCAAGTATAAATGGTGAGAGAACTCCACTAATAAGGTACAAGAAAGATGTGAGACGCAAAACTAATGTTGAGCCTGAAAGCTAAAAAAACACAGATTCCGGGGCAATACACTTGCATCTGGAGAACACAGCTCAGTCGAAAAAGACGAGATTTCTCATTAATATAATCTGATACTTTTAAGAAAGTCCTCCTGTCGTTTTCATTACCCCACGCCACACATCTGGGATGAGTAATCGGGTGGGGGAAAGTATAGTTAACCCATAAAATAGTAAAATCGCCAATCGAATACAGGGTAGGTCAGGAGACAGTAAAATGGGAAATGAGACGAAGCATGGGTAGCCAGTACAGTAGTGAGGGAGTTCGTTTCTTACAGCCAAGACAGTAAGTGCGTTTTCTCCAACCAGTCGCGATGCAACGAGGAGGAAATCAAGAATTCCACATGGGTAACCGGCGAGTAGGCATTGTAAACACGCAGGCTTGTCGAACAACCTCTTCGTGGTGCCAGATGGGTAGTTCGGGATTATCTCGTTCCAGCGAAATGGTTCGGCGGCAGTGTTCCAGGACGTGGTGGGTTTTCGCCTGGCAAGCGTTCTCCGTATAAAAAGCCACATATGTCCGTTTAACAACACTGTGACGTGGCGGATGTGACTCGCTACTAAATAAAGTCACTGCCCCTTGCCTCTCTCCGAGTGGCATTGTGATTCAAGGGTGTGTTGGGCCCCTGGTCCTATGCGGTCCTAAAGGAGTATGAACCCCTTGTTTGGTCACCGACTCCCAACGGATTGCGATACCCTCACATCGCCCTGCTGCCTTGTAGGTTAGATCCTTGATCAAAGGCTCGGGGTGGGGACCGCTAAGACAACCCTCTACTTCGGCCTAGGCAACCGGGTAGTATCTCGCTCACTGACGAATCATGGACTTACAACCACAACCATTCACCCGCTCTCTTGCTGCTACGATGCTATTCACTCATGTTACTATGCCAACTTCACAAGCACACGCCACCATTTTACCTACCCTTCCCTTGTACCATTCACACCCATTTTTACCTGATTCCTCTATGGCGATCAACCCCACCTACACCGATGAACCTGCTCCCATGACACCTGCCAACCCAACCACACAGTGCTCAACAGAGAGCTACCAGTCCCAAGGTCTCTCATCTTCGCTCCTGCAACCCGGAACGCAATTCAAACTTGCAGCCTTAAACGTACGCACATTACTGCAGATCGGTCAACAAGCTGGACTCGCACGCACGTTAGAGACCCGTGGAATTGATATCTGCTGCCTGAATGAAACACGACTCCAGGACTCTAACTCGGTCTACCAGCTGGTGTCACCGCTCCACGCATTTCCACCTCCGCCTCTCTGGTGACGCCGAGTCTGCCGCATCTGGGCAAGCTGGTGTTGGAATCGCCCTCAGTGCTAGAGCCGAGACTGCTTTGATTGATTGGATTCCGATCAATAGTCGCCTTTGTGCGATGAGGCTCCATGGCTCTTGTAAAGTTAGCAGACGTCGAGTCGAAAAGAGTGCTCTCTTCGTGATCTCTGCCTACGCGCCCACTGACTGTAGCTCGGACACCGTCAAAGACCAGTTCTACCAGAACCTTCATGAGCTGCTCCTAAGGGCTCCTAAAACAGACATCATTGTTTTAGCAGGAGACTTCAACGCGCGTGTCGGTCGTCTGCTGCCATGTGAGCGCCACCTCGGGGGACCGCATGGATATGATGATGTTCGCTCAGACAACGGAGAGAGACTGCTCAGTCTGTGTGCTGATCATCAGCTATTCCTCTCCAGCACCAGCTTTCGTCATCCTGGACGCCAGTACGCCACTTGGCGCCCCCCATCATCAACCCAGCGCTGGTCACAGATTGACCACATAGCTATAAGTCGCAGGTGGCGCGGCAACGTACGCGACTGCCGATCATTTTGGTCAAGATGCATTGATAACGATGATTCACCGGTATGTGCGACCGTTTGCATGCGTTTCGGTGGTTAGCCTAGGTCAAAATACACCCGACTGAACACGTGCAAGTTGGAGGATCCGATGGTGAAGAAGAAGTAGCAACGAAGGCTTCGTGAAAATCTCGCTCTCTCTCACACACTGGATGTTGATCAACACTGGACAAGTCTGCAACAAGCCATGCTGTCGGCCGGTTTGTCCAGCTGTGGCCTCGCTTGCTCCACCCCAGAAGCTGGATCTCGGGATGATTCTCGGAATTGTTGGATCGCCGATGGGCAGTGCCTGCTGGGGAAGAGTACAACGGTCTATTATGCAACAGCTGAAAGCAAGCCATCGTTCTGATCGTGAATCTCGGTGATTAAAACAAGCTGATGAGATGGAAGCCGCTGCATCAGCTGGCAACTTCCGCCGTCTATTTGGCATCATCAGGGCCACCGGTTGCAATTCCCACGCTATCAGCCAGACGATTTGCGAATCAGACGGCACGAAGATCACTAACCTTCACAGGCGATTGGGTCGCTGGGCAGAGCATTTCGCTCTTCAATTCAACCACCCAACACAGCCCCCTGTGACACTACCAGCCCCAATGGCCTGTCTCCACAGCCCCCATCCCAAATGAAGCAGAGATCCAAAATGCAATCCAATCTTTGAGACGCCACAAGGTTTCTGGTCCCGATAGCCTACCACCGGCTCTATTCAAAGATGGCGGGAGTGTACTTGTCAGCCGAATGCTATCGCTATTCACGCAAGTTTGGACTGAGGAGAAGGTTCCGAACTCATGGGGAGAATCGGTCACTGTTCCGATTCCCAAGAAAGGCTCCTGCCCCGATTGTCGTAACTATCGCGGGATCCCTTTGATCTCGGTTGCATCCAAAAGCTTCGTGTCTGTCCTACTTTGCAGGCTTTCAACGAGTAGAGAGGAGTTTTCCCGAGAGAAGCAAGCCGGATTTCGTCCAGGCCGCGGCTGCATCGACCAAATTTTCACGCTTCGCCAACTTCTCGAACTTCGTCACATCCACCGGCGGCCAACAATCGTAGTGTTTTTGGACATCCGAGCGGCATTTGATTCAGTAGATAGATCTGCGTTGTGGAACTGTTTACTGAAGAAAGGTGTGCCCGACAAGTTTGTAACCATCCTGAAAGAACTTTACAGTCACACGTCGGGCAAAGGCAAGACTTCTCTTCTTCATTTGCTGTGACCAGTGGTGTTAGCCAAGGTTGCCCTATTTCACCTTTCCTCTTCAATTTCACCATCGAAGATGTTGTCCAGAGAGCATTGGAAGGTGTCCAGAGTTGCGGTGTCAAGCTCCTCCCTGGAGAGAGAGTCACGGACTTGGACTACGCCGATGATATCGCCTTGCTGGGGGACGACCCACAAACCGTCCAGAGCGCTTTGGACCGCTTAGCGATGGAGGCGTCTAAGTACGGCTTATGCTTCACTCCGGGAAAATGTAAAATGCTGCTCCAGGACTGGCAGGTGCCTGAACCCGCGCTCACCATTGCTGGACATGTTCTGGAGCAAGTCTCATTGCTTTACTTATCTAGGGAGTTGCATCACGGCTGGTGGCGGTGTTGGAGATGAAGTCTCACAACGGATTGCAAAGGCCCGCCTTGCATTCATCAAACTGAGACACCTATGGCGTCGTCGTGATGTCAGTCTCAAGCTCAAGGGCAGGGTGTACAATGCTTCCGTCCGTGCAGTACTCTTGTACGGCTGTGAGACTTGGCCTATTCGCTCGGAAGACATGAAGCGGCTGTCAGTCTTCGACAATCGCTGTCTACGAAGGATTGCTCGGGTGTGGTAGCAACAAAACGTAAGCAACGCAGAGGTGCGAGACCGAGTGCTTGGAGCGAGTAGTGCCAGTCTTCAGGACGTTATTCTCCGACATCGCATGCGTTGGCTCGGGCACGTTTTGCGCATGCCAGCCCATCGCCTTCCACGTCGAGCGCTATTTGCACTCCCAGGGAGCGATTGGAAGAAGTGTCGCGATGGACAGCCAATGAGGTGGAGAAGGAGCATGAAGAAGGCAACCTCAAGTTTGGCGGCAAGCGGACCAGTCCGTCTTCCAGGTTGGGGAGCACGAGATGCTGAATCTCAGTGAGTGGAAACATTGGGCGTCATGGCCCGCAACAGACGTCAGTGGAGTCAAGGTTGTTCTGCCGTTATATCCCCTTTAATACACAAAAAACAAAACAAAAAATTCGAAATGCCGTGTGTAAAGCAAAAAACGTTTCCCTTTTAAAAAAACGCAGTTCCTGTTTCTATCTTCACGATTTTTCTTCCGCCATGGTTCTGATGGCACAATGTCTGCTAACAGACTGTGAATATATATATATATATATATATATATATATATATATATATATATGATAGCGTCAAAGGGGCCATCAGAGAATGTGTGAGATTATCGCCAACGAACGCATATAGCAGACAGCATCTACAATGCACGGTAACCATAAGTCATCAGTATTTTACGGTACATTTATTTGTGCATCATTCTACCTGGTAACCGTATTGATGGCATTTGCTTCTGTATTTCCACATCTGTCTCTACCTATTGTTGATGTCCAGACTTCTGACTAAATTTAAAGCTGCCATTTTTAGGTTAACGCTTAAATGTTAACTAACCAACGACGGTCGTATTGGTTGTTTAAAATTGTATGTGAGAACTTCCAACACTAGTGGAATATGGCAGTTATTCTTACATTCAATCCATACTCGCGCACGTTCGTAGTGTTCTTGCTCATAAGAGTTATTGTTTCTCCATCCAGTTTGTGGTAGTCCATACACAATTGTGTGAGTAAATGCCCGTGCACAACACTGCAGTACTGCAACTGGAACCAGGGACCTCTGGTATCTCATGTTGAATGACTAAGCGGAAGCTATTTAGAATCACTTGTAAGCGCCACACTTCAGCCTGACAGACTGATTTCTAACTGGGGCTCGCCCAAATTACAAGTCACGCTAACATCTGTTCGTGTCTCGCTACGTTCCCACTTTACAGATGGGTATTATTATATTTCTTCTCGTGTGACACCGTGACTTATTGCGGGTTGCAGTATGGGGTCAATGTATCCCATCTCAAGTGCCTCTATACACACCGTGGTACTGCTGTCGCCTACAGGTAAACGCACTGGGATTCAGACAAGTCATCAAGGTTGATTCCGGAACAGCGGCAACACAATGTGAGATCCAAATCGAAATGCTTGGGTGCCGGTAGCATTCTAGGCACTGATGAACTGCTCGAGATATGCTAGCGGTCAGAACGAATGACCAGGAGGAAATAAATAGTAACACACGATGGACTGCCTGGTGGTTCTACATCCCGGTTGATTCTCGCCTACCTCGGACATGACACGACCGGATCGGATCTCGTTTACCTTCCGATAGGAATAGCCTGCAGTTAATTATATAGGAGACGACATTCACAGCACACACCAACGATTGGTCATCACTGTTCCATTGTGCTTCTATTTCTTCGTTAAAGTGAACATAGCTATAAATCCCGTTCGTTCCCTCACCGCGGACTTTAAATTAACTGACCACCATTTCCCTGCTAACTTGGAAAGTTCCTTACTCCCTCACCGTCATTTTCGTTGTGCTTTTCCTTATCCCACATCCCGCATGTAAGTCGCGCTTGGGTACAGTTTCATTCTAGAATGATTAACTACTGACTTGGAGCAGTGTAGTATCTTTATTGCACCTGGCTGGCTTGCCGAACAACCTCCTCGTGGGGCCAGATGGGTGGTTCGGGATTTTCCCGTTCCAGCAAATGGTTCGGCGGCAGTGTTCCAGGACGTGGTGGGTTTTCGCCTGGCAAGCGTTCTCCCTATAAAAAGCCACATATGTCCGTTTAACAACACTGTGACCTGGCGGACGTGACTCGCCACTAAATAAAGTCACTGCCCCTTGCTTCATCCTGGCGAAACATTGTATTCCAGCAACCTTATGCTGTACTTCTGGGGAGCATTGGGCCCCTGTTTGACAAAGGAACAAACGAAAGGCGTATGAACTGAGCAATCAGTCACCGGCTCCCAATGGGCACGATTCCCTGAATTCGCTCCGCTGCCTTGCGGGCAGGCTATTCAGCCAAAGGCTCGGGGTGGTGTCCCCTAAGTCAACACCCTACTTCGGCTTGGGCAACCGGGTAGTATCTCGCCCTCTGAGGAAACCATGGACATTGTTGTGTTGTGTTTTATTTTACTGTTTCTGTACCTTCGTTTGAATCCCATGGTTTCTGATGGCATTATGTCTGTTAGCAGACTTTTGCAAATATATATATATATATATATATATATATATATTGCACCTGCACAGAACAGATGAGCCACATCTAACCTAGCTATATTGGGCTTACTTAACTCGGTCGTATATCGCGATGACTTCATGTGTTGACCATTACAATGTTGAAATCATCATGACCTATGCTATTCTTGCTACCATCTCAAGTAGAGTCTAGCATTTCCCGCAAAGTTGCATAAAAGGTCCAAGGTTTTGCAAAGAAGGAGCAAAATTTTGCAAACAAAGTCCAAAACTTTGCAAAGAAAGTCCAAAATGTTGCAGAACCCTGTGCGATTTGCTAGCCGCTCAGAGCCAATCCTCTGACCTTACATATGTTCTCATTGGCCGGATGTCATGGTTCGGTGCGTTAGTCTGGGGAGGTGAGTGAGCTGACCGTTGATTGGGTGAGACTGGTGAATAAAACTTAGAAGCGATGGACTTCGGCGGTGCAACAGGCTTGTGTGCGCCCCCCTCACGTCCGAAACGGTGGATCACAATTGGGCTGAGAGCAATGAACAGCTGGAACATAAGCGCACGACCGAAACCATGTCTATGATACTAACGTCGTCGGCATGCCTTCTCGCGTTCGACAAATATCTCATCAGACATTCGTGACCGAATTTTGGACGTCTTCGTCAATGGTGAGGACTGACAGCTGGTGGCAACTGTGAACAACGTCAAATATCAAACAGCCTACTCTTGGATTCGTCATTTTCTTGATCAGGAGCCGAGTACTCGCAGGCGTGCGGTCGTAAGCGGATTTTGTCGGAGGGAGACGTAGATGACATCCTGAATTGGGTTGCAAGGGACTCAACACTTACGCTACAGCAGCAAGTACAGTGGCCGTACTGAGAGCTGTTAGCGAGAATCACACAGCATGTTACCCCTAAACACGGTTGCAAAGAGCCCCAAGCTATCTACCAGTTCGATTTCCCACCACACTGGATTGCTCTGCGTGTCAAAACCCCTGCGGATGGTTCAGAGTAATTGTTGAACAGAGACTCTCGTCTGATTCAGTTTGCCGAGGCTTCGGCGATTCGGCGGCTGAAACGAAGCTTAGGCAAACAGACAGATTTTGTGACCAGCCTCGCGTTACACTGGTAAGGTCAGCGCTCGTTGTCCTCCCACTGACATCAGTTAGTGGTTTCCCTGTCCGTCCGCAGGCGTATCGGAGCCAGGTTATCGTGTGGTTTGGATAATGAGGTCGGCTGAGTCTCCGCGCCAGAGTGGGCATCAGCCGGTGCAGTTTGCAGTCGAGTCTCCATTTCACATGCAGCCCGACAAAAGGAGCAGAGAGACAAGTGTGACACTGAGCGCACGCGCAGTCTCATGGACGTTTGCGCTCCAACACAGTGTGCTGATTGGACGGTTTCAGTTTAGAGAGAACGCGTGGGGTTTTCTTCAGGCGGCAAAGAGTGGTGCCACTGGACCTATATTCGCAGACTGCCTGTAGGTATATTCAGGCTAACTAGCTTCTTTGCAAGTATAACCCACATTGACGCACGTAATTCTGTGCAGATGAGCGGGCAATGCGATTGTTGATTCCTAGATACTTTAGCCATAAAAACTTGTTGTTCCGTTTTGCTTGGTCCCATTTGGTCCCCACAAATCTATTCTTCTCATGCTATTACCCTATGTACTCAATGATGAGCATTTTGTTTGGTCCACTTATGTAGTATACGAATTGGCAATTTCTTCCATTACCGTCCATTACGGGTCATGTTAAGCGGGTGCATTTTTACTCGCCATTAACCATCGTTCCATTGTTTAGACAGAAGAAAGGAACAATTCAGTTCGGATGAGTTGAATGGCTATGATAGGTGCATAGATATGTGGAAAACACATTCACCATGATTCCCGAAGTCAGAAGAAAAGAGAAATAACGGTAAGAACAAAACTGATGTGCAGGAATAACATTCGACAGGAGTGACAAATGTAACAGTACGGTTGACTTCGTGAACACACAATGAATGATAGGGTACTTCGCCGATGCTATGGTTGTTCTCGAGTGCCGTGGCGTTAAGGATCATAAACCTGTTTTGTAATCTGATGTCGCGGGTTTGAGCCTGCGTAGGGGATGGGGCAAACCTTGTAGTATCATTAGTCCTACACGACGTGTAGACTACATGGGGACTTTTAGTGCTACTTCATACTCCCTAAGCGTAGTATTGGTTAACATTACACATCGACGTAAAAGTTTTGCGGGTGTACGGAAGCAATGACCTAGAAGGTTGAAGCGGTGCAAGTACAGCGGGCATTCCAGTGGGTCACAAGATGACCTGTTACCGGAGATCAAAGGAAAAACTTTGGTAAAAGTCACCTGACATTCACACCACACATGGGTAATACAGAGGAGAGGGAAAGCGCCCTTACCGTGGTCCCATGCAAAAAGTCGGTAAGAGGACCCACTTTTGACGTAAAAGGCTTGAAAGATTGAGGAAGTTTCACTATAGGAAAACATTGAACCAATATAAGTAGTCGCACTCCGGTCGCCATTAGTGTAGTCGCATGAATGGCGATTCTAAGACACTGTTTTGTAAGTGATAAAGAATTAAACGATAAAGGACAGTTAGAGAAAAGGATGAACGTGATCGTAGATTCAGATGTCGGAAGAAAGTGACAGGGGGTGACGTACGGGCTTTGGAAGACAGGAGCCGGCCGGGCTCGCAAGTCGACTAAGATTCTCCAAATTTGCTCCGCCGGTGTGCTGTCACTGCCGTCTAGGTCGAACAAATCTGGATCATCACGGTGGATATCCGACCAGACAGGAGTTGGAAATTCAGAAGAACAGCTACTCTGATGGATCAACGAATCTAAATTATCTCGAACTTGTCGCCACAGATGTGAGCCCATATGATTAGAGTGGGAAGCTTCCCCAGTTGAATCCAAGTATGACTTGTGAAAGCGGCGCGTGTTCATTAGGAAAACGTCCACAGCTTGATTGTCACGGAGACTGAACGTGGCATAGGTTACAAAGGAACCACGAGGCAACTGCGAGTGATCCCAATACTGTAAATAACAGGGGAGCTGAAAAGGAGAGGAAAAATCGGCACAAGAAATGGGTAAAGTACAGAGAGTGGATTAATACTTCTAGGTCAGATTCAGGATGCACTATGCGATGTGTAGCTCAAAAAGAAGGGAACACCTTAATAGGCTTGGTGACTGGAAGTGGCGTCTCTGGAGTTCAAAGTACTTCAGAACTAGTGACACGTCCAGGTCTCGCACACCGCCCCAAACTGTCAAAGCAGATGATGGGGAACGGAATATTCTAACAATATTCAGAAGTTTGAGTTCTACAAAAATTCGAATTGCTGCATTGTTCCATAGTAGACAAGAACACTAGTCCACCGAGGAGTTGAAAAATCTGTCTCTCATTTAATTATTTACTTATAAGTACAGAGAGTAAATTGTGAACTATGTGAGTCCGAGTGGCAGAAAATGTTAGCATAGGCTTGTAAAAATCACAAACAATAACATAACTAACTGGTAAATCCAACTGTTTTGGTTCTGAAAGGTAGGAAAATGATAGTAACGAATTAATTGGACCATCAACACCCAGAGCATGCTGGCGCGCCACATCAGCTTGGGCAAGTCGGTGCCACAGGACACCAGCAATGCGCTGCAGGCAACTAGGAACAAATATTCGAGAATGTCTGAAAAACGAACGAAGAAAAACAACATCTACTGCTATCGCTGTAGCCACATGCATAAAGAGAAACCACACTAATTGCTCCGAACTTGTCGCATATTCGCAATGGGTAGGCGAACTTAATCTGTCGCACACCAGACGTTCAGATAAATGAATGATTCAACTGTCTACATTTGCTAATAACCGAAAATTAAGCAAGTGGCTAATATTTCTGTAACAGCTTTATGTAGTTCGTCTATGGCTGACGGTACTACCTAGCGATAATTGTAACGGCAGCTTATCGCACCTCACCAGGAAAAAACTAAAACGAACATTTGCATGATCTTTTGTAAGGATGTTAAACACATTATGTTAAACGATAACCGACTGGTTGAGATGATCCGCAAATGCACGATACAGTATATATATATATATATATATTTATTTATTTATTTATTTATTTCCAAAAGTCTGCTAACAGACATAATGCCATCAGAAACCATGGGATTCAAACGAAGGTACAGAAACAGTAAAATAAAACATAACACAACAATGTCCATGGTTTCCTCAGAGGGCGAGATACTACCCGGTTGCCCAAGCCGAAGTAGGGTGTTGACTTAGGGGACACCATTCCGAGCCTTTGGCTGAATAGCCTGCTAGCAAGGCAGCGGAGCGAATTCAGGGAATCGCGCCCATTGGGAGCCGGTGACTGATTGCTCAGTTCATACGCCTTTCGTTTGTTCCTTTGTCAAACAGGGGCCCAATGCTCCCCAGAAGTACAGCATAACATTGCTGGAATACAATGCTTCGCCAGGATGAAGCAAGGGGCAGTGACTTTATTTAGTGGCGAGTCACGTCCGCCACGTCACAGTGTTGTTAAACGGACATATGTGGCTTTTTATAGGGAGAACGCCTGCCAGGCGAAAACCCACCACGTCCTGGAACACTGCCGCCGAACCATTCGCTGGAACGAGAAAATCCCGAACCACGATACAGTAGAGAACAGTAAGGTTGCTGTTCAATTATCGAAAAAGGGAATACGTCAAACTGGAGGTGAGTACAACGTTCCACGTAAGTAGGCGTTGATGAGCGCCCCTGCATCATTTTGGTGAGGGAGCGCCGGACGTATTCCAGAGCAATTCAATGCTTTGCGTAGGCCGCTATGTACGATGGTGCACTCATCATCATCATCATTATACATGTCAGCTAGAGATGGTAAAACACCTCCGCTATTGTACCGCAATACATAAAGGAAATACATACATACATACAATACATAAAGGAAAAATAAATACGACAGTTGAATGCCAGCTGAGCTACCAGCAACGGATACGCATCGTTCCGGTAAGCTACCAGCCGGCTACTAGGCAAAAACAAAAATTTAATTACGTTTTACCCTACGAAATAAGATCGTAGATGGAGGGGGAGGCTAAAGGGATGAACAGGGACAAAGGAACTCACAGCACGAACGCCACTGAGGTCGGCTCCTTGCCATATCAGCAAGTGTATCCAGCCAAACGTGTTCACCGTCTTTTGGACCCCAACCAGGGAGCCGTGAAGCTCCAACTGAGCGCCTTCATTCCTCTGGACCAAGTCATCGCTTGGCCACCTCTCCTCTTCTTCCACCCACATCCCCGGTGAGCAAACAACGCACGTCGAGGGAGTCGGTGGGCTGGCATGCGCAACACATGGCCCAGCCATCGGAGCCTGGTGAGTGAAATGACGGTGCTGAGCGGTTCATTCCCTTTTCCTAGGCCGTAAACAAGGCGTCTAACACGCTCGTTACTCACGCGGTGTTCCCACCAGATGTGAGCCAAACTGCGAAGGCACCGATGGTCGAACGTAACTAGCCTCTTCAGGTCCGCCGACCTTAGAGGCCAGGTTTCGCAACCGTACAGTAGGGTCGAACATACCGCTGTATTGTACACTCTACCCTTCAGGGCGAGAGTGATGTTGCGCCGCCGCCATAGGTGGCGAAGATTAGCAAAAGCACTTCGAGCTTTCGCTATACGGTTCGTGATCTCGGCTTCCATCCCAAGGGCGCTGATACAACTTCCCAGGTAGTTGAATTTCTGAACGACTTCTAGCTGATCCCCACCAAGGGTCAGCGAAGGAGGCGATCCCTGCCAATCTTGGAGGAACGCTTTGCACTTCGATGGTGTAAAGCAAAGCCCGAAGCGGCTGACAGCCAATGCTAATCTGTCCAGCGCGGCTTGGCACGTCTGGGAACTGTCACAGATGAGGGCAATGTCGTCTGCATACTCCAAGTCAAGAAGTCGTTCTCCTGGGAGTAGCTCCACACCTAAGTCGTGTCCTGTAAATGCAAACTCCATGGCTTCGTCAATAGCAAAGTTGAAGAGGAAAGGTGACAGCGGGCATCCTTGTCTCATACCGCTGGAGATTTTAAAGGGTGACGACAGCTTGCCGTAAGCCCTCACTCTGCCCGTGCTACGCGCATATAATGTTTGGATAATATTTACATATTTCTCGGGCACACCTTTCCTGAGTAGACAATTCCAAAGGGCACATCGATCAACCGAACCAAAGGCACCTTTGATGTCGAGGAACACGACTACGGTGGGCCGCCAATATGTGTGACGGTGCTCCAACAACTGAAGCAAGGTGAAGATGTGGTCGATGCAGCCACGACCCCGACGAAACCCGGCTTGCTCCTCACGAACCTGGCTTTCACGAGCGCCAGTCAGTCTGTGGAGAATTATGGAGGCGAGTAATTTGGAGGCGATGGAGATCAGACTGATTCCTCTATGGTTGCCGCATTCCGAGCGCGAGCCGCCTTTGAAGATGGGAACAATAACGGAGCGGCTCCAGTCGGTTGGGACAGTTTCCTACTCCCACAGTTTCACTAGTAATTCATGCAAAGCATCAACAAGAGCAGAGCCTCCAAATTTGAAGAGGGCTGGAGGAAGATCATCTGGTCCCGCGGCTTTGTTCAACTTCAACAGTCCGATCTCACGTTCGACTTCTGAGCGAGAGGGTGGATCCAAAGGGACAGCCCACGGAGCGGGGCGATCAGTGACCGGCGAATCGAACAATTCTTGCCGATTAAATTGCTTTTCAAAATGCTCAGCCCAACGCTCCAGACGTTTTGACAAATTGTGGATAGGCTGTCCACTCTCGTCACGTATAGTTTCACTAACACCAGGTCTCCTGCTGCCCGTTTCCCGTATCAACCGGAATAACTTACGATGGTTGCCAAGGGCAGCGGCCACTTCCATCTCAGACGCACGATGAGACCACCAAGATTCGCGGTCTCTCTTCAGGCTAGCACGGAGTTTTGCCCGGAGCTCTTTGCGAGTTTCACTGTGCTCGCTTCCAGCCGGGATTTGCCGGCGAGCATATATAAGTTCCAAAGACTGCGAAGAGACCCAATGTCCATGTTGTCTATTAGACATACCACATGAGGATTTGCCTGCTGCTAGTAAGGTCTGGCGAACATGTGACCAGTGACCACCAATTGTCTCCTGTGAGCGCTTGCTCAACTCGCATGTTAGCGTACTTCGATACGCATTCAGAACAGCTGGTTTTGTCAGTTGGCTGGTGTCAATACGCTCACAGCGTCGTCGTGGGCGTCCGTCAAAACGCATCCGCATGTCAGCACATACAAGTGCATGATCGGTGTCCACACATGTGCTCCAAATCGAGCGACAATTCTGGATGCAGCCTCTCCAGCGGTAACTTATCGCAATGTGATCGATCTGCGTGCAAGGCTGGTTGGAGGTTGGTGGGCGCCAAGTCACCCTTCGGCGAGTGCTGTGTCGGAAATTAGTGCTCGCAAGAAATAAGCGAGCATCTTCACACAAATGAAGTAACCGCTCACCGTTAGCATTACGGGAGCCTACACCGTGTTGACCGCCCAGATGCAGTTCATCAGTGGACAACTTTCCAACTTGTGCGTTCATATCCCCCGCCAGCACAACAGTGTCCGTGCTTCTTCTGTGGCAAAGGAGCTGGGTCAGTTGGCGGTAGAAGTCGTTCTTTACCGAATCATCGCTACAGTTTGTGGGCGCATAGGCAGCGATGATGAATAGACATCTATTAGTCCCGCGCGACCTCGAAGCTTTAAACGAGCCAGCCAATCGGACCGCACACATCCGGCTACTGATTGGAATCCAATCAACCAGAGCAGCTTCAGCCCGGGGACTCAGGGCAATACCAACACCGGCTTGGCCGGTGCTCGAAACTGCATCGTCACCGGATAGGCGCAAGGAGAAAATACTGCTTGCGTCCCCTGAAGGGGATCGCAGAGTGAGCACAGTGCTCGAGTCTTGCAGGCGAGTCTCTGATAAGCAGCAGATATCGATTGAGAGGGTCTCCAATGTTCGGGCAAGTGCTGCCTGTTGACCGATTTGTAGCAGTGTGCGTACATTGAGGCATGCCA